TGGATAATTTTTTTAGAGACCACTTGATAGAGGAAATTCACCTTATGTTGTGTACGTTTAGAACTTCTCCGAAAATTTGCTCGATTTCTGCCAATTCATTAACAATCAACTAGTTAGGATTTTTACAAAAAATCATCAACCAAATTGGAGGATTAGCTGGAGGGTTATTTTATAAACCATCCGGCAAAGAAGCGACGCTCTATTAGTTCTGGAAGTGTTGATTTGCTCAATAAATTAGTCGAGTTTCTTACGTAGATTGCGTTGAAGCGTTGAAGCATCCAAGTCTTTGCAGGGAAACCCCAGCACTTTATGTAGAAATATGTTTTTTGTATTGGTCCCAACTTTTGCAACTCCAGCGGCTTTTCCTAAAATCTCTGATTATTTTCGAATTCTTCCACAAAGCGTTTATGTGTTTCTACACCTTAATTCACCCTCAAAGCGTCTTGCTGGTTGCAAACTGAACCAACCTCTTTCTGAGGTTCACTTATTTGGTTGACTATGATCAAAACTACAAGTATGTCTTTCTGTTCCTCTCCCCATTTGTTCTGTTTTTGTAGAGTGATTGGTACCTGAGCGGGCTTTCACCGAAAATCATCCGACTATCATCCGAGTGGTTCTGGTAGCCTAATCGGTTTTTGGCAGCTCACTTTCAATTTTTTTTACTAACCGTTATCGCCTTGATCAGGATTACGTGGCCGACCTCGTAAAATAAACAAACAGTTGACTGGCATTGGGTTGGGATGACGAAATACCGAACTGATAAAGAACGGTACCACCAACGAACAGAACGGCACTAGTCGCCAGTACCACACCAAACGGTCGCTATCTGCGTGATTTCCTGATGTCCTGCTAGGAATTTACATCATAAGACCGTGTGTAATGTGAATTGATTATTTGATACTTTCATTTTCTGCTGGCTTATTAATTAATTAAGCGCGCAGGCAGGCAGTACTTTTGAGCGTATTGGAGTGGATGGAGGCAGTAAAGCCAATTATTGGTCAATCTCCGGCCGGTTCTGTGGCTCTGCTACAAATATACAGCCATTTCCACTCGGACAGATTTCGCTTCGAGTTCGGCTTTACACCACTGGCATGCACGTGAAATTATCAACAATTAGTTGTTATTAGTAAGTAGATTGGAGCGACGACGACACTGCTGACCAGGCACCAACTGGGTTCCACCAAGCGTTCATCTGGTTGCGTTTCTGGCGCCCTGGTTGTGGGTTTACCGCTGTGAACCTCGCACAATGACATTTGCTGCTGATGAGCACCCAAGTCCGATAAGATTGCGTGGCTCACCATCACTTTGGGTACCTCAAAATGGCCGGCTTGGGGCATGGAGGGAGAACCACGATTCATTCATTCATTATGTAAGCTTCCAGTCCGCCAGTACCTCAGTGAATTTTTCTCCATGGCTCTCTTCTGTTCGCCTGCTCAGTGAGTACCACTGTCACCTTTAGGTGGTACTTGGGTACTCCTCTGCTCGGGTTCTGAATTTT